CAAGAACAATTCCTAAGATGGAAGGATAAGACTTATTGAAAGGGTTCACAGGAGGATACTAGAACAATTCCTAAGATGGAAGGGTAAGACTTATTGAAAGGGTTCACAGGAGGATACTAGAACAATTCCTAAGATGGAAGGGTAAGACTTATTGAAAGGGTTCAGAGGAGGATACTAGAACAATTCCTAAGATGGAAGGGTAAGACTTATTGAAAGGGTTCAGAGGAGGATACAAGAACAATTCCTAAGATGGAAGGGTTTCTTATTTTCTCTTGAGAAAAGAAAGGGGTGATGTTATTAAAGTTTTAAAGATTATGGTTTGGAAAATATAAGTAAAGCTCTAGTTAAGACCATATTATTTTGTGATTCATTCATGAAACAAGTTAATATCAGCAGTAACGGAGACCTGTACTGATTCATTTATAAAACAAGTTGATATCAGCAGTAACGGAGACCTGTACGGACTCATTTATGAAACAAGTTGATATCAGCAGTAAAGGAGACCTGTACCGACTCATTTATGAAACAAGTTGATATCAGCAGTAAAGGAGACCTGTACTGATTCATTTATGAAACAAGTTGATATCAGCAGTAAAGGAGACCTGTACTGGCTCATTTATGAAACAAGTTGATATCAGCAGTAAAGGAGACCTGTAGTTTACAATAGTTTACAACTTATGATTTCTGAAAAATAAAGGGTGGGATTAAATTTTTACTTTTCTGAAAGGCGAATGTGCAAGAACACCCTTGAATATTAAAATTTTCCCTTGTATTAATCTTATGTTCTAGTTGTTGAATTTCCAACAAGTTTGACTTCCAACTCCCTTCCTCTCCAAACACACAAACTTGCTTCTAATTGTTTACTTATTACATCACATGCTCTCTACAGATACCTGAATTTAATATTTAAATTCACTAATACTTTACTTACAAATTAGTTAAAGATAGTGTTCTTACCATTTCTCGTTTATGAGCTTCGGGTGTAGATGGTGGAGTGCTAAATATACTATCACCCTGTATTGTAGACACAGTTTGATCAGCTTCACTCGAGTTTTTTGCTTCAGAAACTGTTGCAATAATTACTGGTTCAGTATTGGTTGCTTTGCCAGATGCAGGAGGTACAGGCATGTTAGGTGTTAAGGTGGAGGATACTGGTACTGTATGTGCTGTTACTCCTGCTACAACCACTCGACGTAAGGTACCTTTATAATATGTTGCTTGGTCTTCGTTTCTAACACTCTTACCAGCATTGATTGCCCTAAAATGGTATTTCACATGTAAAGCTTGAATTAACTGTTGAATTTTAATACATTATTCTTAACATTGATTAACAATATTAACATAACAAACAGGATCATTAAGTTATTCTAGGCTCTCCACCCTCGAAAAACAGTACAAACGTAAACCAAATTATTTCTTTGGGAAATCATTGTTTTTCTTTTAAACTCTTGTAAAGGGCTAGTATACATTACTGCTGATGGCAACTCATTCCCTAAACCAATCACCCCATTAGAAAATAAAATAGTCTTAACTGGAGACAAGCCAGTGTTTTTCCAAATCTTAAACTTGTGTTCTTTTGTCCTATTTCTTTAGAATAAATCAGAGGCCATTATCCTATCTATAATCTAGATCATCTATTTAACTTCAATAAGATCATCTCTTACCTTTCTTTTCCCAAGATAAACGATGAGATCTTAACCTATCTTCTATAAGATAGCCCTTCCATCCTCCAAACCATTCCAATACCCTCCCCTGAACCCTCTCCAATAAGTCAATATCCTTTCTTAGATAAGGAGATCAAAACTGTATACAGTATTTCAAGTGATGCCCTAAGTAGTAATTTGTATAGATAAATACCCGTTTGGACCGGTAATTTCACTGAAAAGGGGCAAAGCCTGTTTTAACCACTCACACCACTATACAGTAGCATGTTGTCTGTCAGCAAACACTAAAATGACATCACATAAGGGGCAATTAAAGTTGCACTCATTACTGTCACAATGTCAGTAAAGCAACTACATGCCATGAATCATGAGAAGAATTATACACTCTGTAGGCTACAACACAGAATGATATATGAACTTCAAAAGCAAGAAACAAAAATATTTGTTACTCTTAATTTTGTTTCGTTTTTACTCTTGAAATAGAATGCTTTTGGACATCCTGCAGAAGTACATCTAGTCAATATGTCTATACATTCACTCAAGTTTATTAGCTTCAATATTACTAGCATCAGATGTTTCTTAATAGTTTGAGTCACTGTTCCACCATGCCAAGTGACTTTTTCTTCAGTCACACTATTAAGTGGGTTCCCATCTATATTAAACACGTGATCCAAATTATGATAACCTGAATACATTACCTTGCATGTGGCTAAATATTTGTCCAACTTAACTAACCCAAGTCGTTCTGTGATAACCAAGAGTTATCATCAAAGTTAATGTGAAAATGAAAAAGCAAAGTTCAGCACACTGACCACTTCATTAGCAACACAGGTACAGTTTGACTTGACTCCATTACAAAACATAATATTTTGGAACAACATGGGACCTATTGGTCCATCTTGGCTGTTCCATCCTCTAAACTAAATTGAAAATATCAATAGATAATTTTTTAAATATCTTAAAGCC